CCATCTCAGAGAGAGTACATTCCAGGATAGAACACATTTCCCTGTTTCCTTGATGACTAGTTCCCTTCCCACTATCCCAAGCAAATGAATCCATTTCCCCCCTCAATCACTATAGACCCACTCCTCTAGCCTCGATGGCCCCTTTGAGCATCAGTGCCATAATTCTGGGAGGTTTCAGCTCAGAGAATGCAGACATTCAGAGCGACTCTAGGAGAGAGTTCTGTTATCATCCCCATTTTGCAGATGTAGAAACTGAGGCTTAGAGAAGTTTTTTTTTTAAAAAAAAAAAACAACTTTCCCTGGCACTCAGGGCTGCACTTTAAGTCAAGATTCATTCTCTGAATACCTAATATACTCTAGTCACAGGAGACAGAAGAATCCAAAAGGGCCATTGAGGGGCTGGGGGTGTAGCTCGGGGGTGGTGAGCATGCTCTGTGTGTTTCCAGCCCCCGCAACGCGTTGTTCTTCACTGACTAGAGTTCTTTAAAGATTCCTTTGAAACCCTACTACTCTGCTGCTTCTTCATGAATGAATTAAATCAATCCTCATCATCTGCCTGGTGATGTGAGTCATCTGCTAGGTGTGAGTCAGGCTTTTAACCTTTTGATGACTATGCTATGACGGTGGATAGGAAGTGAGAACTGAGGAGGAGGGGGGTGTCATCAGGATCTTGGTGGTGGCATGAGGGCCTGTGGAAGACTGTAGCAGGGAACAAGGCCAGGCGTGGGTGGGCAGGAGAAGGGGGGTGGGGGCAGGTGCAGAGATGGAGGAGTTTAGGAACCTGCCAAAGCTTCTGGCTCAGAAAACTTAGCCTTGGGCCCAAGTCTTCCTTGGCTTGCGCTTACCATTAGCATTTGAGAAACTAGATGCTAGAATGTTCCCTGTCCCAGGACTGGGGCCATAGTTGTTACAAAATGTCTACAGAGCTTCTCATGTGAAAAACATTCAGAACTATGCTCAGAAAAGCAACCAGGCTCTTTCACTTAACAAAAAAGTGGGGCTGGGAGGGCACAGAGAAGAAAAACACAGAGATTGAAGGAAGCTTCTCTCCTCTGTGGACAGCCCACTTCCTTTCCTGATTGCTAGCTTGCCTTCTCTCTTTCTTTCTTTGGATTGAACCCAGCTGCACTTTACCACTGAGCTACACCTCCAACCTCTTTTATTTCTTGTTTTGAGACAGAGTCTTGCCAAGTTGCCCCGGCTGGCCTCCAACTTGACATCCTCCTGCCTCAGCCTCTCAAATCACTGGGTTTACAGGTGTGTGCCACTGGACCCAGCTCCCTCCTAGCTGCTCCTTCTTATTTGCAGGGAGGGTATCAGGGACTGAATTCAGAGACACTCAACCACTGAGCCACATCCCCAGCCCTATTTTGTATTTTATTAGAGACAGGGTCTCAGTGAGTTGCTTAGCATCTCGAAGTTGCTGAGGCTGGCTTTGAACTCGTGATCTTCCTGCCTCAGCCTCCCTAGCAGCTAAAATGACAGGCGTGCACCATAGAGCCCAGCTCCTCCTAGCTTCTTAATGGCTACTTCCTCCTGGGATCCAGCTAGAGCCAGCAAATGACACTCAGTTCTTGGGACAGCAAAGCATATTAGTAAAGGAAATCTACACTCCCATAGTGGGAAATCTCAAATCTGCTGGAAAGTTGTGTGAATTTGTTGAGAACAGGGAATCATTAGATTCAGGGCTGGTGATTGGCTTGGCCATTTTCACCTTTCAAAATCTCCCAGAATTCAGTCTTTTTGCTTCCAGAGCTTCCCTCCAGCACAAACTTGAGCTCTAGCCACTAAACGGGAATGTGCTCGTTTCTCATTCTCCTCACTGGAGGGGCGCCCTGCTAGTATGAGACCTCCTCCAGGAGTCAGTGCTGTGCTTTTCTATTTGCTTCTTTAAAATTTCTGATTTACAGAAAAGTTGTGAAGATAGTCCAGGGAGTTCCTTAGTCAACTTTTCACCCGGCTTTCTTTCATGCAAATCTTACATAACCGTGGTAATTTTGTCAAAACTAAGAAATTAACATTGATACGATCCTATTAATTAAACCACAGGTCAGCTTTTCCACTAATATCCTCTTTCATTTCCAGGATCCAATCTAGGACACCACATTGCATTTAGCAGGGTCATTGTGTTGGATGCTTCCACCTCCCAGGGTTTGCATAGATGAGATGAAATGGCACGTTCAAGGGCTTTGTAAACTGAAGAGTTAAGTAATCATTACCAACAGTTCTTACTTCATTGTTGCTCTGGTTAATAATGAAACTTCCAGATGCTTCCTTCCCTGCCCTGCAGGATGTGAGCAGACTAAAATGTCATTGAAACTCCTTGAAAACAATAGCTGTGAACGTGTGTAGTTAATCTTCACAGTCATATTGTGCTTATTTTATCAGTGAGAAGGTAACTGATTTGCTCAAGAAGGTACTAGACGGTTTTAGCCTCCCAAGGTTGGCTGGGCTGACTCTTCATGTGCTGGTGAATCACAGAACTTCCTGCATAGTTGCACCTATGAGGCCAATAGCTCTAGGCTCTGGGAACTTCAATTACTCACTCCTATATCTTTCCGGGCAGCGAGTCAGGCACATAGAAGATGCTCCCCGGGATAGCATCCGGATGAAATATTGATAAAGACTAACTCTGTATCTGTTTGCTAACCCACCACTCATTGCCTGTCTTCCCCTCCTAGAAGGTAAAGTCCATGCAACAGACAGGGTTGGCTGGTACTGAATCCTCACTGCCTAGAACAGTGCTTGGAACAGCACATGGTGCCAATAATATCCATTAACGAATATACAGAAACATGTGTCAGCCAACACCACTCTGTCTTTTTGTGACAGTGTATTGTTGGGTTTTTTGTTTGTTTGTTTATACTAGGGATTGAACCCAGAGGGGCTTCACCACCGAGCCACATCCCCAGCCCTTTTTATATTTTATTTAGAGACAGGGTCTCACTGATTTGCTGAGGCTGGTTTTGAACTCATGATCCTCCTGCCTCAGCCTCCTGAACTGCTGGGATTACAGGCGTGTGCTACTTACCATACCTGGCTAGTGTCTTGTTTTCTGAAGCTGAGCTCAGAAAGAGAATGCCCCAGAACAACCACAACCCTCTGGGGTGGCGGGATGCTGAACCTCTGGCTTCCTGAGTTCAACATTTACTTGCAGCTGATGCTCAGAAGAGGAACCGCAGGAATGTTGTCTCCAAGACACCTGCCTGCAGGAAGGAGCCCTGGCAGCTGGCCCAGGTGGCCTGGGGCTCTGTGCTCCACCGTGTGGTCCAGCCCCTAAAAGACCACAACTGGAAACCACTGGGCTGGAGGCCACATCACACTAAATCCCCTTTGACCAGAGTGCAGCCCTTGGAGAAGCAGAAAAAAAAAATAATAATAATAACCTGCTTGTAATCATCACCAGCTTCGTTTTCTTGGGAGACAACTGTTTCTTTCCAGAAGTCTTCTATCTCAAACCTATTCATTTTCCCTCCAATATTAGTGACAAAGTAACAATCATATTCACATTATGGAAAAATGGAATGTAGGAGAAAAGTCATCATACCAACACGAGTATGGGTGGGATTTTGTGGGTATTACCTTCCCCTTTTCACCCTGAGAGTGTATCTATGATCTAACTAGTTGTTCTGTTTTTTTTCTTATTTAACATTGTATCCTACTGATAAAATGTTTTTTTCCTTGCTGTGAGACTTCATAACCATCTACTTAAGTTCATTTCCAAACACCTAAGGATTTTTTAAAATTTATTGTTTCACTTTTCTTTTAACCTTTTTTAAAAAATTTATTTATCTTTATGTGGTGCTGAGGATCAACCCAGGGCCTCGCATGCGCTAGGCAAGCGCCCTACTGCTGAGCCACAATCCCAGCCCAGGATTTTTAAATATATTATTCGTTTCACTGTCAGATATGCCCAAAAAAGGTCACCCAAAGGGGTTGAAAGATAAAAAACTCAAGACACTTAATATCTTAAGACTTCATTGAATATTAGCATTAAAAAAACAAAGCCTAGCTAATATACAAGTGACAATTACAATAAAATTAGTAATCAGGGAAAAATATATCAAAACCATATGTCAGCCAGGCACAATGGCACAAGCCTGTAATGCCAGCAACTCGGGAGTCTGAGACAGGAGGATTGTAGGTTCAAAGGCAGCCTCAGGAACTTAGTGAGGCCCTAAGCAACTCAGTGAGACCCTGTCTCTAAATAAAATACAAAAAAGGGCTGGGATGTGGCTCAGTGGTTAAGCGCCCCTAGGTTCAATCCCTGGTACCAGAAAAACATATAAACAAACAATTATACACCTACTGGTACTAATAATAACAGAATTAGAATTTCTAATTAGAATTAGAAATTCATCTGCTGACAAGAATGCAGAACATCTAGAATTCCATACGTTACCAACTGCTTAGAAAATCACTTCAGTTTCTTGTAAAGTTAAACATAAATTTGCCATACGTCCCAGCAATCCCAATCCCAATATTTACCCAAGGGATATAAAAGCCTATATCTACACATAGATCTCTTAAATGTTTATAGAAAAATGGATAGAAAGTGGAAATCACTCAAATGTCCATCAACTGGTGAACAGATGTACAAATTATATCCATGCAAAGGAACACTACTCAGCAATAAAAAGGACTGGATTGCTGATAAATGTAACAACAAAGATGAATCACACAACATGATGCTGTGTGAGAGACACAGGAGGCTACTCTGAATTGTTTTCAGTCACACTTCTGACACCATGTTGTAAGTTTGTTCTACAGCAACAATCATTGCTCCAACTCTGCAGACATCAACTATGGGGCACTACAATTCTTTTGTTGTTGTTGTTGTTGTTTTTAATTTATTTCTTACATACATGACAATAGTAGAGTGCATTACATTCATAATTATCTATTCACAGCACAATTTTTTTGTAACTCTGTATATAAAGTATCTTCACATCAAATTAGGATATACAATCAATCAACAAATATACGAAAAAATGCCCATCATCTCTAGCAATCAGAGAAATGCAAATCAAAACTACTCTAAGATACCATCTCACCCCAGTAAGAATGGCAGCCATTATGAAGACAAACAACAACAAGTGTTGGTGAGGATGTGGGAAAAAAGGTACACTCATACACTGCTGGTGGGACTGCAAATTGGTGCAGCCAATTTGGAAAGCAGTATGGAGATTCCTTGGAAAGCTAGGAATGGAACCACCATTTGACCCAGCTATTCCTCTTCTCGGACTATACCCAAAGGACCTAAAAACAGCATACTACAGGGACACAGCCACATCAATGTTTATAGCAGCACAATTCACAATAGCTAAACTGTGGAGCCAACCTAGATGTCCTTCAGTGGGTGAATGGATAAAAAAAAATGTGGCATGTATACACAATGGGGCACTACCATTCTACTAGTGAGAGGAATTAGAGTCAGACTCCACAGATTTGAAGGTTCAGTCCCATGAGACTCCCTCACTTCAGACCATTCACAAGGCTGACCCTGTAGTTGATCGGCTGGTAATAAACTAGGTGTTTCCATGACCCCCTCTTCAAGCTTGATGATTTTCTGAAACAGCTCACGGAATTCGAGGAAACCCTTCACTTTTGCTTACTGGTTTATTATAAAGCATATGACTCAGGAACAGCCAGAAGAGATGTCCTGGACAGGTATGGGGGGCCTCCCCAGGCACACCTTCTTGGCCCCTCAGTGTGTCCCCCAAGCTAGGACTGTTGTTTAGGGATTTTTATGAAGGAGTTGGAAATCTGACCCTCTCGTCACTCCTTGGTCTTTCTGGGGCTCAGCCCCCATCCTGAAGGTTTCCACAGGTCCCAGCCACAAATCCTGTCCCTAGATGCAAAAGGCACTCTTACCACTCCAGGGATTCCAGGGGTTTTAGGAGCTGTGTGCCCGCAACTGGAGATAAAGGCCAAACATTTATTTCCTGTTATGCCACAACTACCTACTATATGATTCCATTAATTCCATTTGGGAAAAGGTGAAACTTAAGGGACAGAAATCAGGTCAATGGCTGACAGGGATTAGGGGTGAGGGGCAGGTTTGACAGCAAAAGACAGGAGCGAAGTATTGGGGGGGGGTCTTTGAAATGTTCTAAACTGGGGTCGTACTTATTTGACTAAAGATTTTTGTCAAAACTCATCAAACTGCGTCCTTAAAAAATGGAATGGTAGGGCTGGTGATGTGCTTGTCTACCATATGCAAGGCCCTGGGTTCAATTCCCCACACCCCTAGAAATGATGAGGTGTTCAGCCATATGTAAAGTATCCCTTAATCCATCTGACTTCAAATAAAAGCAATTTCCTTCCCCCATCGACTGCAAATCCTCAGACCTCAAAGGATGTGATGTTTATTTTGGACTGCTGCAAAGGATGAAATAGAGTTTCATCAATAAACACCTGGCTGTTTCCACAAAGGTATCTGCTGTCCACGTTAAGCATCACTGGGTGAACATGGTTCAGTAGAATGTTTTCCAGTATCTTTGGCCAGAAGCTCCTCTGACTATCCGTGGTTTCCGACGGGACGCTTCTCCCCAGGGCCTCTCTACTCTATGTTATTCTGTAGGGACTCCTTTGGCTTCCCCCTCTGGATCTTGCTTTTTCTGATTCTCTCTTCTTTCTCTTCTTTGGCCACAAGTCGATAATGGATGCCCATACCAATGAAGAGAAAGACACTGGCAATCATCAGGATCACACCACATGACCAGTACGTATATTTGTAGTCTCCGTATATGTCATTGAGACGACCTAAAGATGTAAAAGACAAAGTATGTGGGTACCCTTACCCTTGGGAAAGGGATACCCTTTCCCAAAGTGTAAGGATCCACTCAGAAAGAAGATGTTGATCCAGTCTTCAAAGCCCGCAAATGCCCAATCGGTATCAAAAGGAGTTGCTAAAAATAACCTTATCTTCTATTTATGTCATTTTTTTCACAGATTTTGGGTGCCCTTGCATACTCTGTTATTTTCAGAAACTTGGAAAATCATCAGTTCTTGGCAGATTCGAATTGGAGGTTACCTACAATCAATCCCCTCAGTACGTAATGTAAAAAGTGTTGCTCAGAAGAGGTCTGGGACTCACAGCTATTCCAGTTACCAGAGGCCAGTGCTCTTTCTCTAGCAGCGTTTCCAAAGACCACGACAGGCACATTCAACGGTCATCCTCATTGTATAGGACAACTGAAGTACAGAGACATAGGTAACCTGTCCAAGGTCACAAAGCTAGTAAATGAAACCGTTTGCCTTTAACCTGGGATTTCTGACTCCTGGGTCTATACCTGTAACTACTGTGCAACGGGGGAGCCCAATGTTTCAAAGGTCAAAAAATCAGGGTGGTGTATCACTTCCTTTTATCTTTAAGGCTCTGTCAAGTCTGGTAGTAAAGAGATCCATTGAACTTGGCGTTTCTAAACCTCTCGTTATGGTTACAGTTTATCAGTATCTGTAGAAATAAACTCCGGAAAGCCCTACTCTGCACTTAATAGAACCAATTCAAATGTGACCCCCATATGGCTTCCTAACTCAGGGCATCACTCATTCAGCAACTGCCACTGAGCCTCCATCACTGCCCAGACACTGGCTTCACTCAGCGCTGCAGATGAGGGTGAGCAAGGGCCTTACCACCCACAGCTGAATGGAGAAGAGATGTTGTTCAGATAATCACACAAACGTGACAAGCGCTACAGGGAGGGTTTTGGAAGTAGAAAATGGAGGACTGGAACTGGCAGGTAGGGAGAGGAAGTCTTCCTCCCTTGAGTCCACTGAGCTGAGATTGGCAGGAGGACAGAGATCCTCAGGAGTCGGGGGTAAGGAGAGGATCCAGGCGGAACAGCAAGTGCAAAGGCACGGGGGTAGGAAGAAAGAAGCATGGCATGTGAGCCGGGAAGAAGGGCTGGGCTACTGGAGCAGAGAGCAAAGAGCTGGTGCTAAGAAATGAGGCTGGAGAGACGGGTCAGGCCAGGTCAGGCCAGGCAGAGCCTTGTAAGTCACATCAGGAAATTTTATCCTCACCCTAAGAGCGGAAGAGGTGTAAGAGACTTCAGGACAGCTGGCGCAGGTACAGGAGGACCAGTTACGAGGTCACCATTAGGGTCAGCCAGAACAGGAAACAGGTGTTTAGGTAGTAGTGACGGAGAAAAATGGGCAGATTAGGGAGGTTTTGGAGGTAAAAACTGATAGGATTCGTGAAGCTCACTGAGTAGAGAGAAAAGTAACCGAGGGGAAGTTTTGAAGTCAGCAGTTGGCCTCTGTGTGGGGATCCCTCCTTTCTCCTTCATGCATAATCTCAAAAGCATAAATCAGTCCAGAGGAGAGCCAAATTATTCTTGTATTTAGTATTAAGTAATAATTTCTAAATGTAAAGAATTTGCTCTTCTTATGGAATAATCTATTAAGTTTTGTAGCCCTTTGCTGAATGCAAGATCTCAGACAGCTTATTTCATTTTTAGAAGCCTATATTTCTTCACTTATAAAGTGGGACAGTAACAGTTCTACCTCATAGACTTGTGAAATATGACAGGGCATATAAAGTGACGAAAACAGTCTGGTACACTGTGAACCCTCACCTGATACCTATTATTATTATTTTGAATAGCAGCACTGAGATAAATGTCATGATTAAAATGAAAACGCTATTAGTATATTTTAAGGGTGGAAAGGTACATTACACATTTTTCTACAATAAGCGTGTTCATTTTGTGACCAGAAATACTTTTAAAAATACTGAAGTTTATAATAGTTTTTTTTTTTTTTAATTCTCCTTTCAGCTTGATGGTTCAATTTACTTTGATTCGGTAAGTATTTGAGCATCACCTGTGTCAAGTAATGTGCCAGCACTCAGGGTACAGAAGTGAGAAAGGCTTGCTCTGTGCTACCAAACAGCTCACTAATCTCTGCTTTTTAAAAAATATTTTTTTTTTTAGGTGTAGATGGACACAACTCAACACCTTTATTTTTATGTGGTGCTGAGCCACAATCCCAGCCCCTAATCTCTGCTTTCTATCATGGTCCCAATCTTGTTTTATGATAGCGGGATCATAGAGGTAGGGAAACATACTGTACCTAACAGTGGTGGCCCCAGGAGGACAGGACAGCATTCCACAATGGTCACCAATCCCATGGCACTGGAGAACTTCTGCGGTCCAACGAGGTCCATCAGTGTTTCAAACAATACAGAGCTGAGCCACCCAAAGGCAAATCCTAAGCATCCTGCATAGACACAGAACCCAACGTAGCTGGTAGAAAAAGGCAGTACCATATGACACACTCCATTTGCCAAAATCGCAGCAGCAAAGAAATACTGGATTCGTGGTCTTATCCACTTGGTGTTGGCTATCAGTCCCATGGAAGGTCTGGCTATAATATCGACCAAAGACAAAATGGAGAGAAGGAAGGCAGGCTTCTCACTAGCATAGTGCTGACTCTTTGCGTAACTACTAAGAAAGACTAATGGGGCAGCCAGTCCAAAGACCATTATCACGTTTCCAAAGAGGTACAGAACGAAGCCTCTGTGGGTAAAGAGGGACAAGCTCAGGAATTGGTTAACTACTGGGAAGACGGATCTTTTCTCCTCTTTGTCGTTCCCACCATTACATTTTCCATTGGCATCACCTGCAACTTTGTTTGCATTAGATTTTCCAGCTTCCGGAAGGGATTCTGTACACTTAACTGTCTCTGCCTGTGTTGGTTTGGGTCCTATGGGTCGCATCAGGGCTCCAGCCACACAGCAGTTTAGTAGGAGGCCCCCAAGAATTAGGAAGCTTCCTTTACAACCAAAGCTATCAAAGAGAGTCTGATTGAGGGAGGCCAGGACTGCGAGGAGCACAGGGCTGCCCGCCATGGTCAGTCCGTTGGCCAAGGGTCGCTTCTTATAGAAATACGTGCCAATCATGGTCAGAGCTGGATTCAAGTTGAAAGCAAATCCAAGACCTGGAGGGAGGGGAAAAATGACAGTATTACATACTTTAATTAACGTCAGAAACACTTGTTATTAATTAACTAGACAAAGAAATTGAACGAAAATGACAAAATTGCCATCATTATGAGAGAGGCTATTATAATTAATAGATCATGAGGTCCACTGTTGTCAAATAAATATAGACCTAAGTGTCTTTATGTAGCAAATACCAGAGTTATAACATTAAAATTATTATTATTTTTATTCTAGCAACCAAAAGAATAATAAAAAATCCTGGGGCTGGGGCTGGGGCTCAGTGGTAGAGCATTCTCCTAGCACGCCTGAGGCACGGGGTTCGATCCTCAGCACCACATAAAAATAAAATAAAGGTACTATATACACCTACAACTAAAAAATAAATATTAAAAAAATAAATGTAGGATCTGTATTTAGCTTCATAATCTTAGCTTTCTTGAGGAACAGGGGATTGAAAACAAAAAGGAAAAAAATGAGTATTATGAGTTCAGAAAGTAAGACAGTAAATGAAAATATTTTTGGATGGTAAAAATACAACAGTGTCAGAAATGCCAGTACTACCACAATCAATTCATTAACTGAAGGCAATTTCTATGAAAATGGCCATGTATTTTATTTTTCAAATGAGGTAAAATGCCCATGAAATATTCCTGGAGAATGAATACATCATAAATATTTGAAAAAGATAAGTAATTGGGGGGACCAATGTAAAAGAATGAATATGTTACACAGTTATACTAATTAGAACAGTGTATCAAAAAATAGAAGAACAAATCAATGAAAATAAGCAGAAAGCCCAAGAATAGAACCGAGATGTAACCCCCCCCCCCTTTTTTTTTTTTGGCCGGGCTAGTGCTCTACCACTGAGCTACACCCTCAGCCTGTTATCAAGTTTTTTAACTTAATATATCATGCACATGCCCATACTTCCACGTCTCAGAAAATTTTCGCTGATGTTATTTTTCCATTGAATGGTACCATAACTCATTCACCATTCTCTGGTTAATGAGCATTAGGTTGTTGATATTTTTTCAATGAATAAACAGTATATATACGCACAAAAAAATACTTTAAAAAAATATATATGTATGTATATAGGTCCCAGGTATTGAACCCAGGGATGCTTAACTACTGAGCCACATGCCCAGCCCTTCTTATTTTTTTATTTGGAGACAGGGTCTCACTAAGTTGCTGAGGCTGGCTTTGAACATGAAATCTTTCTGCCTCGGTATTATTATGATAGTTTCCTATATATCTTCATGAAAATAATTATTAAGAAACAATGCTTGTAATCCCAATGACTCAGAGGCTAAGGCAGGAGGACCTGTCTCAAAATAAAAATAAAAAAAATAGAAATCAAAGAGGACTGAAGATGTAACTCAGTGGTAAAATGCCTCTGGGTTCAATCCAGCACCAAAAATTTTTTTTAAAAGGGCAGGGGGTGAGGGGAGGGAGAGTGCTCCTGTCATGCGCTTTACTCCTTGAAAATATACCTGGCTTCTCTACCAGAAAATCTGCTCTTTGTATCTGATGTTCCCCCTCAGTCCACTTTGAGCCAATTCCGTCTCGGGTAGTCTGGGGTTTGTGATGCCTGGGAATAGCTGATGACTGCTCTTTAAATAACTGAGGGAACCACGTCCTTTACTGCTACCTTCCTTTAGATGGAAGAAAGGAAGAGAGGGAGTGAGGGAGGAAAAGAAGAAAGGCAAGTGGGACAAAAAATTTTCAACTCATTCATTTAACAAATGAACACTTAATGCCAATTAAGTGCTAGACTGTCTTTAAAAGTTTGCTTTTCTGGCACTCTTAAATTAACATATCTAAAGCTCTTAAAAATAACAGTCATTTTTCTAATGAAGACATTTTATTTCTCCAAAGAATTGGCAGATCGCTACCAACAGTCCACCAAAAAAAAAAAAAATTAACGCTTGAAAATAAACCAGGAGCACCTCACCTCCAATAACTCCAATACACAAGTAAAGCTCCTGAACGGTGTTACAGAAAGAAGCCGCAACCAAGCCACAGCCAGACAAGCAGCCACCAGCCATCATGACTACACGACTGCCGTACTTATTCACCAGGATACTGCTGATGGGACCTGGGGGAGAACAGGCAACTTAGCAATGCAGAGAAGCCCACCCCCCACTTCTGCGTCCACACGAAGCATTACTGACAAGATAGGCGTCAAGACAAAACCCCCATCCCCACAACAAACAGAGAAAACACAAAGCCGGGTAAAAAGCTGCTTTCCATCATTATTGCAGGTTCATTGATTTGTGTAGTGGAAAAAAACAGCAGCATTGATTGTACATCTTCTGTGTTTCTAGAACATATTAGATGGATTCATCGCAAGTAGAAAAGCCCTCACTCCACCTCTCCTAAGGTAGAACGGGCTGCACGTTCCCTGATTCTAAGTCTGTAGGGATCTTCATGTGTTTAGAACATTTTCATTGTAACTGTAGCAAGTTTTCTCTGTTCTTAATTTGTAGATAGGTATCTGGAGCGCAGACATGAAGACAACAGTCAGTAGGAACAAATCACCAGCTAATATGTGTTTTGTTTCTCACAGAAAACAACGATAACAGAACTACAAAACAAGAATGCCTACCATCACTACTTTTCTTCAGCATTATACTGGAAGTCCAAGCCAGCACAGTAAGACAGGGGGAAATAGGGATAAGGAAAGGAAGAAACCAAACTATCATTATTTGTGGAAGATATTTTGAATATCCAAAAATTTTGACAGACTCTACCAATAAATTAATGGAAACAACAAGAATTGAGCAAGTTTACGGGATATACAATGAAAATACAAAAATCAATTGCCTTTGTATATATCAGCAAAAGCAGAAAACACTTTTTTCCCCTCCCTGTGGTACTGGAGATTAAACCCAGGGCCTGGTGCATGCTAAGCAAGCACTCTATCACTGAGCTGCACCCCAGCCCAGAAAATGCATTATTATTATTATTATTTTATTTCACATTGGGGATTGAACCCGGGGCATTTTACCACTGAGCTACATTCCCAGACCTTTTTATTTTTTTTAATTTTGAAATAGGGTATTGCTGAGTTGCTTTGGTCTAACTTGCTGAGGCTGGCCTTAAACTTGCAATTCTCCTGCCTCAGTTTCCTAAGTTGCTGGGATTACAGACTTAATGTAATCACCATGGCCAGCCAGAAAACACATTTAAAAAGAACGTTATCCTTTATATAACACCAGTTTTGGTCATAGTTAACCTAAGAGGAACATATAGTTGCTATATAACCTTCTGATATAAAGAAGGAAAAATGCGATTCTAATCACCTAGGTTCAAGAACAACCTTTCGAATACCTCACTGATAAGGGCACCAGGAACAGAAAGCACCCACTACAGAGCTTTTGCCTGCCTATTGGTAGTTAAAAGAGCAGGCCTCAGTGGTACTCACCGCCCCCATACATGACAGCAAACATGATGGAGGAGATCCACGACACTTCACTGGTGCTGGCATCAAATAGACCTTCAATTTCTTTGTAAAATACAGAAATAGATTTGGCAAATGCACAAGAGAAGCCGATAGAAATGAAAGCACCAACAACCACTGCCCACCCCCAGCCTCCATCTGGGGGGGTATATCCAACTGGACCTTCATTTGACGTTGACATTGTACGTAAAGATGAATTCCAAATACCTGAAGGATTTGAAAGGAAAACAGTAGGTAACAAGGTCAATAACAAGGCATTCCCACAAAGCCCAGAACACTTAGATTACAAGTAACTAAATCCTTCTCGATGTTACTTGTCCTTTATGAATATTGTAGAAAAACCATCTAAGAGGCATGGTATTGCCCGTAAGTTTTACAGACTTTAAGTTAAAACACTCACCCCCATTTGAACTAAACACCAAAATCTTTTTCAATAAAGGTAGTAGTACTTTTTCTTCAAGCTTATAATCATACCTGTTTCAATCATCAATTTCAGTACTCTTCTATACTACCAAAGAAAACCAAATTACTCATTTGACTTATCTGTTTGTAAAACTTAAAACACATACTATAAAATGATAAAGATTTAATATCTCCCTTGCAATGTTTTCTCCTTTCCAGAATTTATCCTCTAATATTTACCTAGTTTTTATTTTCTCTAGGACTAACAGGCTCGTCTAAAAGTGTCAAGAACAATAGTGTTATCTGTAATACACTAGACATACAGCAATCTACAACATGTGGAATAGAAAGTTATCTCAGTAAGTTATCTCATCCAGCTGTTTAGGTATTTTTTTTTCTATTATGTGACAGGAAGGATTCCTAAATGATAGCTTAATATAGTTTAAATGAATCAATTTGGAAGCTGGCAGTTTTAAATCAAAGACTTTCCCTTTTCTTGTTAAGTCATCCAGTACTAATGAAGAAAAAAAATTAGTAAAGGAAATATACTGTAAGATTTTAATTAGTAGCAGGTGGGAGAGTCTGGGAACAGGTTTACCGGTCCACTTTAAAGAAATTACCTTCTCACTGGTTAAGGTGGCCCACACCTGTTATCCCAGAGACTTGGGAGGCTGAGGCAGGAGGATCTCAAGTTCAAGGTCAGCCTGGGCAAGTTAGAAAGATCTGTCTCAAAATGTAAAAGATTTAAAAAAAAAAAAAAAGAAATAGTTATGTTGAAGAAATTAAAAACCTTTATTAGTTTCTGAATATAATTTTTATAAAGTTTCTAAAAAGTTTTGTAAAATTGTGAAATGTTTAAGGTTTGTGCAACTTTTGTTAGATTTAAACTAAGGTACTTTTTTTGTTAAGTAAAAAATAAAGTAGTAACTTTTTTTCGAACCCAGGGCCTTGTTGTGCAGGCGAAGCAAGCAGTCTACCAAGTGAGCTATATCCCCAGCTCTGTTAAGTAGTAACTTTAAAAAATATTCTTCTGATGTGTAAACACAATTGACCCATTTAAATAACAGCTTTATTGATAGATACAATTTGCATATAATAAAATTTATCCTTTCAAAGTGTAAAACTCAGTGATTTTTAGTAGATTCACAGAATTACGTAACTATCACCATCTGATTTCAGTTGAAGTTTCCAACTGTTATTGTCATGGTTGAATCCTGGATCATCCCTTGAAAAGCTCATGTGCTCGGCAATGCAGGAATGTTCAGAGGTGAAATGATCAGATTATGAGAGCTGTAATCTCAGCAGTGATCCATTCGCTGGATTAATAACTCGAATGGACTACTGGGTGGTACCTATAGTGGGCTTGGCAGGAGGATGCAGGTCACTGGGGGCGTGCCTTTGGGGACTACACCTTTTCCCTGGCTCCTCAGTCTTTCTTTCCTGGGGCTGCCACGAGCTGAACATTTTCCCCTGCTGTGCCCCTGCACCGGGATGTTCTGCCTCATCTCAGGCCCAGAGCACGCTCACCATGAAATGAATCTTGGGAAACAGTGAGCCCAAAATAAACTTTTCCTCCTCTAAGTTGTTCTCTTTTATTCCCATAGCTCTACTGAGGTCAAATTGAAGTACAATATAATGCATATATTTGAAGGATGCAATTTGATCAGATTCGACATGTAGGTAACTAATACAATCAATATAAAAACATTTCCAGCCGAGTTCCTGGCGACAAAAACATTCAGGGTCACTCCAGGGGAACTGGGCTGCATGAAATACCTTTTTCTTTGGTGGGTCCTGTGACAGCTCCTTTGACCTTAAGGGTCCACAGAAAGAGGTGAATGTAGCCAGATAGCTCCAAAAGTGACTGACAGAGCCTCTACCAATCACGGGAAGAAAAATGCTGGTCACTCAGAGCGACGCCCCACCCACCCCCCCAATTTCCATTACTTTTTTTTTTTTAATTTGAAATCATGCACACAGTTTCCTTCATGATTTATCACATTAGAAATCAATCAAGATATATAGAACCCCACTCCCACAAGTCAACTATTTCAAAATTAAATGGCACACTTATAAATATCTCAGAGGGCAAGGAAGAAAGCACAGAAAAGTAAATAAAAAGTGCTTTGAAGTAAGGGATGATAAAAGCTTAAAATACCAGGATCTCTGGGATGTAACAGTACTCAGAGAAACATTTAGAACTTAAAGTACTTGTATCAGAAAGGAGCTAGAAATTAACAATCAAATTATTTTCAAATTATGTAGTAGGAAGAAAAAATATATGAGCAGAAATATATGAAATAGAGAAGAAATAAATGAGCTAAAATTTGATAAAAATCCACCAAGTCTAATCAAGAAAACAACAAGAACACAGGGGCTGGGATTGTGGCTCAGCGGTAGAGCGCTCGTCTAGCACCGGTTCGATCCTCAGTACCACATAAAAATAAAGGCATTGTGTTGTGTCCATCTACACCTAAAAAAATGAATACATGTTTAAAAAAAAAAAACAAGAACACAAAAATTGATAACAATGGAAAGGGAGCTGACAAAATAACCCTACAGATTCTAAAAATATATTAGGTAATATTACAATTGTAGGCCAACATATGTGATAGCTTACATAACATGGTCTATGTTAGAGAAGGATCCGTGTGCTGCTGAGAAGAAAGTGTATTCAGTCATTGATGGATGAAATATTCTACATAGGTCTGTTAAGTCTAAATTATCAATTGTATTTTTTACTTCTATAGCTTCTGAATTTAGTTTTTGTTTGGAGGATCTATCCAGTGGTGACAGAAGCATGTTAAAGGTACCCAGTACTATTATGTTGTGGTCTATTTGATTCTTAAAATTGAGAAGGGTTTATTTGATATACGTAGATGCTCCATTGTTTGGGGCATAAATGTTTACAATTGTTATGTCTTGCTGATATAAAATTCCCTTAAGCAGTATGAAATGTCCTTCTTTGTCCCTTCAGATTAATTTTGGCTTAAAGTCCGCTTTATCTGATATGAGGATAGAAACCCCTGCTTGTTCATGCGATCCATGTGAGTGATATGTCTTTTTCCCAACCTTTCACCTTGGGACTGTGAGGTGAGTCTCTTGGAGACAACATATTGTTGGATCTTATTTTGTAACCCAATCTGCCAGTCTGGGTCTTTTGACTGATGAGTTTAGACCATTAAGTTCAAGGTTATTATTGAGATATAACTTGTATTCCCGATCATTTGGGTTTATTTCTAGTTTTCAATTTGAATTTCTTTCTCCTTTGATTGGCTACTCCTTTAGTGTAGTTCTTCCCTCTGCTGATTTCACTTTTTTTTTTTTTACTTCATCTTCATGGAATACTTTATTAAAAATGTTCTGAAGTGCAGGCTTCCTAGTTGCAAATTCTTTTAACTTTTGTTTATCATGGAGGTTTTTATTTCATCTTCAAATCTGAAGCTTAATTTTGCTGGATATAGGATTCTGGGTTGGCGTCCATTTTCTTTCAGAGCTTGGTATATGTTATTCTAGGACCTTGCAGCTTTGAAGGCCTGGGTTGAGAAATCAGCTGAGGTCTGAATTGGTTTCCCCCTAATGTAATCTGATATTTTTCTCTCACAGCCTTCAAAATTCTATTCTTACACTGTATGCTAGGCATTTTCATTATAATATGCCTTGGTGGGGCTCTGTTGTAGTTTTGTACATTTGGGGTCCTGTAAGCCTCTTGTATTGATTTTCCATTTCATTCTTTAGATATGTGTAATTTTCTGGTGTTGTTTCATTAAAAAAGATTGTGCACTCCTTTGGTTTATATCTCCAAACCTTCATCTATCTCTATAAATCTTAAATTTGGTCTTTTTTACGTTATCCCATAGTTCTCGGAAGTTCTGTTCATGGTTTCTCAACATCTTCTCTCTGTGGTCAACTCTATTTTCGAGATTATATATTTTGTCTTCATTGACTGAGGTTCTGTCTTCCAAGTGGTCTAGTCTGTTGGTGATGCTTTCTACTGAATTTTTAATTTGATTTATTGATTCCTTCCTTTCTAAGGTTTCTGCTTGTTGTTTTTTTTTCTCAAAATCTCTGTCTCTTTATTGAAGTGATTTTTCACTTCATGTATTTTCCCTCTGATTTCATTTCTTATACCATCCTTTACTTCACAGATCAGTTTAACTATGTACCTTCTAATCTGTTTCTCTAACATTTCTTCCACTGTGGTGTTGATGAATTCTGTTACTGAAGTATCTTGGTTTGTTTGGGTTGATTTCTTCCCTTGCTTTTTCATGTTGTTTGTATGCCTACCCACCTAACAGTCTGGATCTGAGGCAGTAGAGTTTCTACCCTGTGGACTTATAGTGTCCCTGAAGGTCTCCAGTACCTCACTGTTTAGGGGAAGACAAATAATAACAACAACCAATGCAAACGATATACCACATTAAACCAAATAGTTCCTACTATGACATCTAGAATTCTAATTAACACAATGAACAGACATGACATTATCAGTTATTGTCTACAATTAAAAACAGCAAGACTGCAAAAGGGTTTATAACTTCAAATGATGGACAGGGAGAGAACAGAAGTGATACAGGATGTGATGATTATGAGGGAGAAGGAGAGAAGAAGTAAAAAATTAAAGGAAGAGTCAAAGAAAATAGAGATTGGCTGTTGGCTGAAGAAAAGAGAATCAAGGGAAATAGGAGAAAAAAAAATATATATATATATAAAGTAAAAATTTTAAAAGATAAAAGTAAAAATAAAAGAATACAAAGGAAACTAAAATATATTAATAAA